GGGGGAGGGGGATGGGGATGCGCAACTTGGGGCTGCTCGGCAGCAGCAGCAGCAGCAGCAATCGGAGATGGAGCTCTACCTCCAGCACAGCAATTTCCTGGCGGATGTGAATAATGAGCGCGAGGTCAAGAATGAGACGTATAAGGAGAATTTGAGCACGCTGGAAAAGTTTGTGATGCTTATGTTTGAGGAGGATGGGGTGGTGCATCCGAAGGAGTCTGCGTGGTTTGCCGGGGTGGATGCTGATGGCGTGGTGGTTGGGTTGAGGGATAGGCAGATCTACAAGGAGGATTGGATTGGGTTGCGGGAGTTGGATGAGAAGGGCGCCTTGGTGTTTCGGACTGTGCCTGGGAGGCATATGGAGATTGGGGAGGAGGTGTTTGAGGAGGTGGTCAGGGAGTTCTTGGGGCCGGTTGAGGTTGAGGTCGAGGGAGGTCGGGATGCTGATGGGAGTGTGGGAAGGCCGGGGTTGGTTGTGCAGGGTGCGTTCTAGATTTGCGATGCTCCGGGCTGGCCTGCAGGTATATACGTTGTGGTGATTTTGAAGTATGCTTCGTCATTGCTTTTAGATGATATTTATGATTGGGATGTATCCACACTATCTCCAGTTTACTGACTACGGACTGCTAATGATGAAACGAGCAACTGAGGGCCTTCGTCATCCTCATCCGTCAGAGCACGAAGCCAGACGTATGGACTGGTTGTCTGTGTCGAGTGGTCGGGCCAGTCGCTCTCCAGGGCAGAATAGACTCTCGGTAGTCCACGGTAGGCTTGGGTTCTAGTCTGGGATTAGTGAATCTAAAATGGCCCGGGCTTAGAGCAGCTTCCGATGTTGAAGATTTCTGTGGCGTGCCGACGCTGGGTGGATTTTAAGACGATAGTCCTTTCGCCATATCCATTGAACCCCATGCTGGAGCTTGTGTCGGTCGGCAATGAGACTCCCATTCGGGCGGCACGGGTTGCCCATATACCTTCAGCGATGGATCCTGCCTTGCATTTCTGTAGCTTGTGGTAGGTCTTGCTCGTGATCTGGAACTCGTCGTGTCAGTTTTGTGTCTTTCTTTCTCCAGTCGGAGACGTGGTCCTGGGAGCCAGGCATATTCATGGAGAAGCGGAGTCGTAGCTGACAGATGGTCCAGTCTCCGCCCATCTGACTCGACCGACAGCGGTGACCGGGTTCTGGTGTTCAATCTGTCCTTGTTGTACTGATCCTGAGGCATGCTTCCACCTCTGTGAGTCCACGGCAGTGTTAACATACCCTCTCGTTCAGCGTCAATCTGATTATCGATTGTGAACCGTCGCCGGACTAGTAATTCCCGATTGGGACTCGTACTTCGACTCGAGCATCGTTGCAAGTCCTTCTGTTCAAGTAGATCTTGCTCGAGTACAATCTTCGATATGACACGTGGGGCTCTCCGGGGTTGCAGGCTAGGACTAATAGCATCACTCGAGTATGGTCTCAGGCTTTGAGAATTCTCAAGTGGTCCCAAGCATCGCTTCAGTTCACTGTTTGATATGACACTTGCTGCATTTGGGGCATACGACTCATAGTCAAGAACCGATGATGTTGGATGTACAATCACCGACGGCTTGCTACTTCCAAGCAAAAGCGAGCTGTCTTGGAAGACATCACTGCCATCGAAACTCTGAGGCGAATGCGCCCGCACGCATTGATTGGTGGGGACTGGTCGGTCGCTGTCCAGCAGCATCGACTGAGAAGAGACATTGACTGGTTGATCCGGTACAGAGTCCGTAGTTCTCTTCACCACTCGCTTGCCGTTTATTCTCAGACTCATCTGTGAGAAGTCCACCGCCTCCATGGGAGAACCCTTGCGCTTCCTATGCCGTACAACATGGACTGAGCGCGAGCCAGAAGTGCCCAGTCTCGTCCGATCACTCTCCGTTATCTTTCTCCGCTTCCCAAACCTTGCCTGTGACTCTGGAGTGGGGAATGCGATCTGGATTGGCCGTGCTGCGGCAACGGCGGCCCAATCGGGCTTTTTCAGGAGCTCGCGTCGGAGGCGGTCCAGACGCTGGCGGGGCTGCGAGTCTTCCTTGTCGTTGGAGGGTCTGTGGTGACTCTCGGTGACGGAGGCTGGAGAACCTTCCCTGCTACGCTTGTGCAATCTCATTATTAGCTGTCCTGCACGACCTCGTGCCGATGGTGGGATATACTCACCTCCCCGGGCGACTGCCGAGGACAGTCCGCTGGTAGGTCGAGAAGCGCAGCTCCCGTAGCCATGGGGTTTGTGTTTGTGCTCTGCTTCTTGAACTTCTGCTTCCTGCTCTTTGCGTGAATAGCAGAATGACGTCGGAGACGTCCTCCGGTCCAGTTCATGGCTGATGGACTTCTTGCAGGTCAGCTAATGGGTTAGTGTTGACAAGATGCTGTGATGTCAATAGGCCGCGGTCTCGATGCTAGAATGGTGGTGACCGAGCCACCGCCGTCATGTGATGCCTGATGAGGCAGGTTGTGCTCAGTGTAACGAGTCAATTCTGTGGCCAATATGCACTGCACTGCAAGGCAAGGCCGACACACAGCGTCAATATATATTTCTCAAGTCATATGCAAGAGATCGCTACGTCTTCAGATGATGCTGTGCTTCAGCTGCGTCTGTAGTGAGATCGAGCCAACGAACATGCGCCGTGTCTACGCCATTGAGCATCTGGATATATTGTATCGTACCACGGACGGGGACAATTCAATTGAATCTCTCAATGGGAGGGCTGGCTCCGATTAGAGCGCGATGGAATAGACCGTGCCCTACTCCGGAGTCATTTCAAGTGCAAGCGCGATTGACAGCAACACCAAGAATTGAAGAATTGAAGGCAATGTCGCGGAGCATCCCAATCTCGAGCTGCTAAAATGTAGCGTTACCTCAAGAGGAATGGTCTTCGAATTACTAGTATTGCCGCCGTAGTCGCAACTTGGAAACAAGATCCAACCGGCTCGGCCCGGACAACGAACCATAGAAGCTGGAAAGCCACTCAGTGTCTGACTGTCTGACTAACCCATGACCGACCCACTTTGGCACTTCCCCACGATTCAGTGCAAACCTCACAAATTCACGTGATACTCGCTTGGTTCATAAGCCGCTTTCCCACACGCCAAAATTCTTTTCCTTTCCCTCTCAAACAACAGACAACCCTCGCGTTGTTTCAGCAGCCAACCTGCGCATGTCGCGCTGTCGCGCTGTCGCCTTGTCGTGCTGTCTGCATCCGACATGACAAGATCTGGACCTCCTGTCTTTATGTTGACAGGTCCACGAAACTGTCAGGTCGGATGCTGAAACAGGCTTTCCTGTCCTTGCCCTTTTTCCCCGTCGCCTAAATCGGCAACCATGCTCACAGATCAGCTGAAGGTAAGCAGACCATTTGTTTCTTTTTTCTCTCCTCTTGCCCCTCCTTTCGCATGGATGTTCGCTGGAGGGCCCTCGCGCCCTTGATGATGAACAACCTACCAATAAGCATAGTTCACCTGAGGTCTCGGACCGCTGAACGAAAACCGTATACCATCTTTCAATTTTATCTGATACACATCCATGCCTGCCTTGTTGCATTGTCATTTCCCGCCATTCTATTTGCTGGCCATTGCTGACATTGCCTGTTTTCAGACACAGATCCTGAGCGCTCCGTAAAATAGGAATCCATGATCCGGAGTTCTCCCTCGGTATTCGTAATTAGCGGACTCCAGAAACAGGTTCTTTTCTTGAATATCTAATTCCATTCTAAGACAAGCAATTAAAATATGAAAATCATTTCACTAGATCCCGTCTAGTTCCCACTTGCCCGAAACTATCCGTAATTAGATGATGACATTGCTGCCCAACCTCCCAGCGCATCTGGAGACTGTGGTGCCAGATGCGACGATTTCTGCCTCCTATTCTCCTCGAAACCAGATCCTCGAGATCCATGCAGGTCCCTATTCATGCTGATGAAAAGTAACACCTCATCGTCGGAGCTGTAGGTACTTTTGGGAAAGTGGGGTGTGGACGGAGTGAAGGGGTGAAAGGGTGAAGGAGGAGAAGTTGTCCGTGAGTCCGAGAGTTCTGTGACAGCGCTGTTTGCTTGCATGCGATGCAGGAGGAGAGTTCAGAACCCTGTTCCCCGAGAGGAGGAGGGGTCTTGACGTGTTGTTATCTCAGCCAGCCGATGGCAGGCCGAGAGTTGGTGAATTTCACGAGGGCAGGCGGGGGCTGAACCTGAGGGCTTTTGATGGCTTCTGACCGGCTCCTGATTGCTCTTGATTGCTTCTGATTACTTCTGATTGATGGTCAGGGGCGCTGCGTTAGTTTGTTAGTTCTGCACGCGACGGTCATTGCCTGCCATTGCCTGCCATTGCATCATGCTCAGTCTACGGGGCGAAAAGCCAATCACGCCCATTGTGCCGCCTCACCGCTCCTTGGAAGGAATTGCCCGGGTGGTGCCGGTGCCAAATGATACATCCACTATCCCTTCATCCGCATCCACTTCCATCCAACCTTCGGCCACTCTCATCCACTCTCATCCACTCTCACTCATCCTCATCCACTTTCATCCATCGCGTTTCTCCCGCCCGGCCACGTCAAGCCGCTTCTCCACTAATTCATTGGTAGATAGTGCGCGAACAACACCACCTGGCGCTGCACCATAATCACCGCCATGTCTTGCAGGGTCAAATCATCGTCCGTTGCTCTCCCACTCTGGGAAGAATGAGGCAGTCCGCCTGCTGCATGAGCATGCAAAGCCCGGCACACGCTTGGACGGCAATTTCTCCTTTTCCCACCCCTCTCACACACACGACCCCCGCCCTGTCTCCTGAGCGAGAAAAAAAAGGATGCGATCCCATCGCTTCTTAAAGGCCCTCGATGCCCCTCCAGATGGAATCCTTCTCGACCTTTCCTATTTATCTCACACCAGACTCGAAGAAGAAACCCAACAGATTCCCACTCTAGATACCCAAACATCAGCGATACCCAACTCTTCTTCCACTTCTACTCTCGAGATACCACCCCACTTCATCACTCTTGTGCTCGATTTGTCACAGTCAAATCAGCTAGCTTCCTCTCTTCCACATCTTACTCGATTCCCAGGCCTCTTTTCTCTTGTCAGACAAGTTCCAGTCCGTGGATCTTGAAGGAAAAAACGCAGAATCAGTTCCTTGGCCCTGATACCAGCCTGATCTATCTTTCTGGAACCCAGTCCATATCCTGGATCGGACCTGCTTGCTTTGTTTGCTTTCTTTGCTCTCCCGGGCTTGTGTCTGAGCACAACGAATAACAGGTAGATCCCTCGTTCTTTGTTTCTTGTTTGCTTTTTTTTCTCCCCATGCGCTTGTTGCCTCTCGACCCGTTCTGGATCTCCGTCTCGCCTACTTTCGCCCCGTCGCATATCGCCCACTGGACTTCCTGGACTTTTAAACCCATCTGGCCTGTTTCGTCAAAGAACGAACTTCATCCACTTGCCGTGGCTTGAATAAACATGCGTCACACAGCGGCCGCTGTGTGACTGGACACTCTTGAGTGTTGTTTAATGTTGCACACTCTTCTCGACACTTCTGGACCACTTTTCTGCTTCTGCCTGGAACCCCTGGATCTCTTCACACTAAGCCTGTGTGGAAGTTGGAATGCTGCCCTTGGATTTGACCGTCTTGGAATTGTTTGATGCTTCATGAACCCGTACCAGACTTGGATTCCACCTTCTCCTGGATTAAGAATTGCCGCGACTTGGATTCACAATGTATAGCATGGCCTCAGGACTGACGCTTTGACCTGGATTGACAATAAGACAACAAATATTGGACCGTATCCTTCAGCCTCGATTTCACTTCGTCCCGTACCGTTTGTTGCTACCCTTGTAGTAATTGGACTCAAATGGATCATCGACCCTTGCACTCATGGCCCCATCGTTCACCTTCCGATCACTTCAC